CTTCATTATTCATAGGTGTGGTTTGGGCGTAACGTGAAATAAACCAATCAGAGCGTCATCTCACATTCCCTTTAAGAGCAGGCGCGCTTGTTCTAAAGCGGATTCCTATTATAACGGCGGATTTGCCAGGCGCGCGCCAGGAGCGGTTCACAGCCGAGGAGAGCAACGTTCTTGTCAGGGCCGTAAAACACAGAGAAGTGACATTGGGGATGGAGAAACCCACCCAAATTAACTTCTGTTAAACAGGCGTATGATAATTTGGGTAAATGTGTAAGATGCTTTTATAATAAATTGTCTTTCTATCTATCTATCTATCTATCTATCTATCTATCTATCTATCTATCTATCTATCTATCTATCTATCTATCTATCTATCTATCTATCTATCTATCTATCTATCTATCTATCTATCTATCTATCGTAATAATGTATGATTTGCAAAAATGAAAACTGCTGCTTAGATGAGAGAATCAACGTGTATGCGCGTTGTGCACACGCTACATTGATTATGGCCAAGCATGCGCCCTTAAAATAGCGTAATGAACAACGCGCAACGCGCCACTGACTTTAGACTAGTTTTTTTCTGGTCATTGGCGCAATTGTTTTATAGAACAGCAAAATAGCATGAGGGAAAGTTTGCGCCGGAACACGCCTCCTCTTTGCGCTGAACCGCCCCGGGGAGCGCAAGTGTATTTCTTAGTGTATTTCTCTGCGTCTGTGGAGGGAAAAACCCGCTTTGCGCGGGTGCAAAATAGGAATGATACATGCGTCAGTGTACAAAGTCATTTGCGCCGAGTGCAAGATAGAGCCCATAGAAACAAATCAGAGAAAGTCATGTCTTCAGCCTACTAGAACTGTAGCCATTACTTTTGTCCATCAAATTTGCTTTAAATGCAACTTTAACCTTCCTCCTTGTCTCTCTGTATACCCGTTACCAACAATCCATCAAAAACACGCAAACACAACATGAGCTTAGGCTAAAACTCATGCTATCTTTTAAATTGTCATTTTCAGCACATTCGTCATTAAACATAATAGTATTACAATTGTTCACACAAATAATGTTTATTTTAACATTCACAATATATTGAAAAAATCTGATTTAAGTTCAACAATATATAGGCTATATATACACGAATTAAACAACTGGACTGCTCGTCACCAGAGGATGACATTTATCGTGTTATATTTGAGATGGATTCATCTCTCGCTGCTAACTGACCTTTATTTCAAAGTCTCCATGATTAAAGCAGCTCATCATCCATCATCCATCATGACAATAACTTCCCAGATCATTAAAGGAGCCAGAGTCGCTTCCAGTCCGTGCATAAACACCTTCAGGCCCTGCACTGTCGAGGAACACTGAACAACACACACAATCAAATGTCTCTCACCATTTCATTTCCCATAAGCTAACACTGAACCTGCACTGGACCACAAGACAAGACATGCAACTTACAAATCAATTACCATAACCTAAAGTGACAAGTAAATGTTTTTTTTTCATGAAGCTATACACTATAAACATACTTAGTGTAGAACTATATTCTGTAAAAAACTTTTTAATTTTAGCCAAACCTTTTCCTTTTTTTTTTTTTTTGCACAACTGAAAAAATGTATTATATCTGAAAATATGGAAATTGTCTCTATTTTTATATTTGTCTCTAGCATGGAGGCCTGAAAGAAGTCTCTTCTGCTCACCAAGGCAGCATTTTGATCAAAAATACAGGAAAACATCAGTATTCAGAAATATTATTACAATGTGAAAGAACTGTTTTCTAATATATTTTAAATACATTATATTATAAATTCGATTATAATTCAAATTACTGTATTTAAAAATGTAATTTACTCCTGTGATGTAAAGCTGTATTTTCAGCATCATTACTCCCGTCTTCAGTGTCACGTGATCCTCCAGAAATCATTCTGATATGATGATTTGCTGCTCAAGAAAACTTTCTAATTATTATCAATGTTTAAAAAAACAGAACACCGATTCATTTAGTAATTGAACAATAGAAATTTTTATAAGGGAGTCATTGAATCATTCATTCAAACCATTAAAAAAATATTAATTCAAACGAATTTAATATTTTGAGAGAGAGAGAGAGAGAGAGAGAGAGAGAGAGAGAGAGAGAGAGAGAGAGAGAGAGAGAGAGAGAGAGAGAGAGAGAGAGAGAGAGAGAGAGAGAGAGAGAGAGAGAGAGAGAGAGAGAGAGAGAGAGAGAGAGAGAGAGAGAGAGAGAGTTATTCCAAGCATACAGACCACTAATATGACATGTAAAAATAAACAGCAGCTTGGCTTTTTAATGCAGGAAAGCACATTACAACAAGGTTATTTTACACACTCACAGCAAAAAAAAAAAAAAAACATTATTTTATAACATGAGACCCTATAACATTATACTGCATAGCAATAAGACCATATTTGGTTGAAGCAAAACAAAAAATTGAATGTTGAATGGAATGTCAGTGAGTCTCATTTATAATATTGTTTATCTATAGGTTCTTTAAATATTAGGAAGTATTCCATTTTTAAAATGTAAACTAAAAAAAAAAAAAAAAAATCTTATATGCGGGGAGGGGAGTGTTAGTAATCCCTGAGTTAAGATAGAAACTAGTATCTGCTTGTTTTAATCCCAATGTGAAAAATGCATAGCCAGTGCACTGAAATCATACAGATCACCAATAGCTTTGAATCAAATGTAGGATTTAAAGATGTTGCATTTATAATGCAAAGGCTGGTATTATGAGGAAAACAAATTGCTTCTTTCGGAGCAGGTTCACTACATTTGTGCTTCCTTAAATAGCAGTTTCTTCACTTTTTTGCATTGCTAACGCTAATTTTTGACACTTCCAGGGAGTATAACGTGTGTATCATGTGAGCTACTCACACATTAATATTCAGCTCAGGTCACATTTATCATAACAAATTTCATACTTTTTTTTTCTTTTTCGCATTGGAGACCATTAAAAAACTAAAGACATTTCATTTTTAAAGCTCGCTCATGTCTCTAAATACAGCATTCACTGCTAAAACAAAACATTTTCTTTTGTCAGCATCATCTTGTTTTCCAGTAAAAACTTCACATGACAAATTGTTTTTAGAGAATATATGTTCATAAAAAATAAATCGGTAACACTTTACTTAAAGCCTTTTTTGCATTATAAAAATAGTTTTAATGCATTGATTATGCCTTGTGTGGTCTCATGAATAATTGTAGCAAGTTATAATACGTCATACCATTTATTATTACAAAATCCACTGTTACACCTTCAGAAAGTAGAACAATTATAACTTTGGTTGGATTTACTTATGAAGAGATAGAATGCATTCAACGTACATTATGAATACCTTTATAATACATTGTACATAAAGACGAAGTAAAGTGTTTACCACTTTACATGAACTAACAATGAGCAATATAGTGCTTTTATATGATTGTTTATTAACCTGTTCACAGTGCATTAACTAATATTAACAGATACAACTTTTGATCTTCAAAATGTGTTCGTAAATGTTGAGATTAACAACTGAAACCTTACTGTAAAGTGTGTCCAATAAATTAATTCAAGATACGTTCTCTAATAATATAACAAATAGTATTATATTTTTCGTAAATTCTTTTTATTTTGGATTAATATCGTATACAGTTTTGCTTTCGCTGTACATTTAAAAACAAGACAAAAGTACTGATTAAAAGTGCAGTCACATTAGCGAAATTTCATCGGCAAAAAAGCTTCATTGTCTGTGGTCACCATTGTAGCGATGCATGAAGACATTTTTAAAACCACGCAGCTTTCTGTCGGTCACCGGGGCAAATCCACACGACCAACTTGAAATCTGTGGAGAAATCTTTTGACCTCGCACAAAATCTCCAATTCCTATTGAAATGACTGAATTTCACAAATGTCAAATGTTTTGCGTGAATGTGACCACACCATAAAGGTACATTACGCAACATGTAAATAGAGTCAATACATCATCAATCCCTCTTCCAAAACGCATGTCTTTTCCTGATTCACTACGGCAAGTCTATTATAAGTTTATATTTTAGAGCTGTCGGGATGGTTTTTGTGGAAAATTGCATACATGCGTCACTCGGCCGTGCTTCTCGTCAGATGCGTAAAGACAGAAAAGTTGCTCCGGATACTTTGACGTGTGTCTGGTGTGAGAGTGGCAGAGGTTAGTTGTGTCAACGAGTGAGAAAGGCTGACATGGAGCCGCTAAATCTCCCAAAAAAAGAAGCCGAACAGAGGAGAGTCGTAATAAAACAAGAATCAACATTGGCTGGGCTTTTTGAAGGCGGCGAGAACTGAGATTTGAAAAGTTGTAAAAGCGATGCCGTTTTATTGAACAGATAAATTGTCATATGTATCTCTCTAACAGAGTAAGCATTATCTATTGTGAATGGTCATTTCATCATGGTTGTTGTAGCGCTGTGCTGTAATTTATTTTAAAGAAAGTACCATGTCTATTAATGTGTAAAACTACGGTAACGTCTTCAGCTCCGCTTGAGATCCTTTCCATCTAAACTGGTTAAATCTCTTAAGCCTAGTAGTGAGTGTTTTATGAGCAGTATGATAACCATATTCATCCGCACACTCACGCAGAGCCGAAGCACAACCACAACAATGTTCATCCGCAAAATGCTTACGGTTTTGTTTTTTAACCGCCAGAGGGCCGAAAGTTACACAGTGTACATTTAAGAATTCGTTTTTTTTTTAAGTGTCTGAAAATGTTACATCTTTGATTAGACAAAAATTTATAATTTACCATAACCACATTTACATCCAAAATAGACTTACATACATAAAATATATTATCATTTACCAGGAGAAAATAGCATTTTGATTTAGTTTTACATATACGCTTTCAGAAAAAAAGGTTCTTGTTTAAAAATGTAGATTATTGCTCAAGGTCCATATCCTTTACTGCACTCTAGATTGGTTTACGTTTGTAGACCAGCACAATACGGAGTAAAGAAAGATAGAAAGAAAGAGGGCGGTGTCATTCGGCCGAGGTGCCGCTCTCACGTCTGTCAGTAATGGCTGCCGCTGTGTCTTCCTCCTTGTCGTGAAGGTTGTTGTTGTTGTTGGTGTTTTTGTTGCTGTAGGTGAACTGCATCTCATGCCTGTTATTCTGCATGGCTGATGTCTCCTGCAGTCTTAGTTCATCCAGCTTCCTCCACAGTTCCTCACGTTCCTGCTCTTTCTTCTTCTCTCTGAGGACAGAAGTGACGGCAATCATGAGCGGTGTATTCAAAGAGGAAATGCAAATGCAAAGAGTAAAGGTGTATTCTTACCGCTGTCTGTCAGATTTGTATGAGGCTGTCAGTTCGTCGAACAGTTTGCTGTTCATCTCCATCAGTGTTTTTAACACGTTGTACACCAGGGCCACGATCGTCCTGAGACAATGTAGAGAAAAAGAGTTTGCAACAAGCCTGCGTCTCATTTCTTTACTGTCGGACTTTGTAGAATTTACGGTTCCAACCATTTAAAGACTTTCAGAATAATTTAAAGGGAAAGTTCACTTTGAAATTAATTTTTGGTATGTTTTAGCTTACCTCAAGGGCATCCAAGATGTAGGTGTCTTTGGTTTATGTGAGAAAACGAGCAGTATTTATATCGTTTTTACCTCTTGTAACGCATAGACAGAAGCGCCGGCGCCCTCAGATCACTTGGACGTGGCTGTGTTTACAAGAGGTAAAAGCGATATAAATACTGTTCGTTTTCTCACACAAACCGCTCGTTTCGTCTCCTAGGCCATCAATGTGTACTTACATTTACGAGTCATTAAATCATGTTTAATTTGGACTTCTCTGTGCATGCTCTTTGAGGTGGTGACCATAGACCTGCATTATATGACTGACAGACAAGAACGGTTTGACCTAAAAATATCAAAATTGAAACTACTGTGGACACAAAGACACCTACATCTTGGATGCCCTTGAGGTAAGCTAAAACATACCAAAAAAATATTTCAAAGTGAACTATCCCTTTAAGCAAATAAAATCTCTCATTTTATTCAGAAAAGACATTTACAATGTTACAACATGCTGTTCATTTGAACTTTTAATTAATCACAAAATCAGTTTCCACAAAAATATCCACAAAAAAAAACTGTTTTCAATATTGATAATAATAATAGTTTTTTTCTTGAGGATCAAATCAGATTATTAAAATGATTCTGATGATCATGTGACACTGAAGACGGGAGGAATGATGCTGAAAATTCATGTTTTGATCACAGGAATAAATAAATGTTTTTAATAATTTAACATCTGAATAATATTTCAGATTTTGCTGTTTTAACTTCTCTTTTTTAAAATAAATGCAGCATATGTGATTAGTTCTTTTAAAAACATCATATCAACCCCGAACTTATGAACTATTATATAATTTCTGTTCAACAGAAAAAAACACTTTTGGGTTTGGAACGTCAAGGTAAATAAACGATGATACAATTTTCATGCTAACACTTTACAATAGTTAACATAAATCATTTCTAAAGCATTTATTAATCTTAGTTAATGTTGATAATATTTCCTAATACATTTTTAAAAACAAAAGTTGTATCTGTTAATATTACTTAATGAGCCTGAGCTGAGCTGATACTAGCAGTTGTATTTTTTAATCAACTAACATTGACAGTATTTATTAATATTAACTAACAAACATTAATAAATACGGTAAAAAATGCATTGCTCTTTGTTGGTTAATGTTAGTTAATGTGTTATGAAATGAAACGAAACATTGTAAAGTGTTACTATTTTTATTTTTGGCTGAACTATTCCTTTATATCCATTATATATTTCCTTTATACATTTGATCCCAATATGTGCCAGTGTTCAAATGACCACAGCAAATATCAATTTAAAAAAAAATCCAAAACCTACGGGTTCCAGTGTTCTTTGGAGATCCGGTACAAGTTTCCAAACATGATGGGAAGGATTTTGGCATTATTCTCCTCGATTAGACTCAAAATGTATTCATTGTTCCAGAAGTACAGTGCTCGCTCTGCTACCTGCAAACACCACACAGCCGGATTAATAATGAGAGCCAATAACTTGTGTTGAAAATGTGCAGCAGTCAAAAGATTAGGGTCAGTAAGATTTAAAGAAATTATTACTTTTATTCAGCAAGAACACATTAAACGGTTTCCACAATAAAAAAAAAATAAAAGCAGTAAAAAAAACTATTTTTAACATTGATAAATGTATCTTGGAACGTTTTCTTAATGATCATGTGACAATTTTTACTGTATTTTTGATCAAATAAAGGCTGGAATACACTACACGACTTTTGCCCAGATTAACAGTCTGGAGAAGTTGTCGAAAGTCAGCGCGGTTTGATATTTTGAGCCGATTTTAGATCACATAAATCACATTTGTCGGCCACATACGTCACTGAGGCTGCTTCATTTCAGTAAACTGACCACTACATTCCCAAGTGATTAAGAAATAACAACAATTTACACTATTGTACACTATTGTCAATTTTATATTGGTTACTGTTCTGAAATTAGACATCCTTTATAATTTATGCGGCTGACAAATGCGACCCCCGGAGGACGCAGCCTTCGAAATGAAACGGCTATATCGTTTTCATTTGTCACGCGTCTCCAAGCAATAAAGCACGTGTTTTTGCTCGAGTTTGTTTTGTTCGTATAATGACTTGAATGTCTGGTAGTGTGTGATCCTCAGTCATTTAGTGTATGATGCCCAGTTTTTCCTCTGTACCGATTTACAAAGTTGGCAAGTGTATGAGGTCTAGTTTTTTTTTTAAATATGTTCAGATTTTAAAAGTCTTGCAGTGTATTCCAGATTTAAGAGACTTCTTACCAAGTGAAATCTTAGCAAACTATTAAACAGTAATGTAACTGCAAATAGCATTTGTAATCTGCCGTTTTTCCCAACATAGCGTGATGACATTGGACAGGTCAGCTGACAGACAGTGATCACAATCTTACACTGTACCTGAAAATGAGGGCTGGCTACACATTTAGAGATTTGCTTAAATAAAGGCTCTTGAATCTTCTTGAACTGAGTGGGTTCAATAACATCCAGAATCTCTTCGATTTCCCCTAGAAACATGACCTAAATAAAGCAGAGAGACAGAACCCAGGAACTCAGACACATAATTCGGCAAACATACACTGAGAAAGTGAAAAAAATAAAAATAAATAATAGTAATGAATGCACAACTGTGCCAATATAATGGCTGTCTGTAATTACTGTTATCAAGTCAGTTATCAGACTTACCTCTTTCTGACTACATGTCTTGGGCCAAAATTTCAGAAGGCCACGAACCACCTAAGAGAAAACAGAAAAGACCTAATAAATTTAGCAATCCTAATGAATATGAGAAAGAAAACAAATATTACACACACACAATAAAATAAAGGAAACGCCATATATATATATATATATATATATATATAGCCAAAAAACAAGTGATAAATAGAAAAAGTAAATAAACTAAACTATATATAAACAACAAATAAAAACTAAATTTATAAAAGTTAAGGTTTATCTTTGAAATTAAAAAAATCTAAAAAGTAAATCTGACCTCACTTCATTAAAAATCTTTTCTTACAAATCAACCAAAAAGTAAAGCGTAAAGGAAAAAAAATATAAAAGGAAATTATATATTAATACATTGTATATATTTGTATTATCATTTTATGAGGTATATCACTTTAATTACAAGGGGTGATGTTTATTAGGGCCCAAGCCCAAAGGGCGAAGGCCCTATTGTTTTCCTTAGGATTATTTATTATTATTATTATTATTATTATTAGGGCCCAAGCCCAAAGGGCGAAGGCCCTATTGTTTTCCTTAGGATTATTTATTATTCTTCTTATTATTTTTCTGCTACCTTTTGGACACTTTTGGAGGCCTTAACATGCTCAAAAACTCCTGAAACTTTGCACACATGTCAGAACCCGCGGCCATCAGGGCCGGGCTGAAGATGGTACCCGGGCGTGGCAGGGGGGCTCGACAGCGCCCCCTGGAACGGGGTCCGAAAACATGGTCCATAAATCAAACACGCTTGCATGTAATAATATGAAACTCGGTACACATGTAGATCTCCTCGTTTCATATATACTTCACACTCTTACTTTTTACCCCAGCCCAACAGGAAGTCGGCTATTTAGGGTTGTTGGTAAAACACACGCAATGGAATGTGAAATACTCCTCCTAGAGAATTCAAACAAACGGCACGAAACTCGGTCAGCATGAAGTCAAGACATTGAGGATGAAAGTTTGCGAGGGGATTTTTGATATCTCGAACGGTTTGGCCGTGGCGAGGAAACAAAATTATGGCGAGAAACGTGAAACAGGAAGTGTGTCATAACTACTGCATACATTAACTGATCTTGATGAAACTTCAACAGTGTGTTCGTTGTAAGAGGCCGATCACATGGATGTGACTATTGTGAGTCAAAATTATAGCGCCACCAACTGGCAGCAGGAAGTGTGTCACTTCCTAAATGCTTTGAAATCACCCTCTTATTTTTACCCGATTTGCTTCAAACTTTATGTGTATAATGTAAACACACGCCAGATGTAGACCTGTGAAAGGATTATTGATATCTTAGATACTGTTGCCGTGGCAACACATCAAACTTTAATATTCTTGTTTGATGCTTTTGAGACTCTTAGCATGCTTGAAATTGCATGAAACTCGACAGACACAGGTATGCATATGGTTCAGATCAAGCCGGACAACTTTCTAATTAACTGTCATTAGCTCAGACCAAGAGGAAGTCAGATATTTTGGTTTGAATGTGGATGTTTCTGAGAATTTTCTCTCCCTCTCCCTCTGACAGAGAGAATGCACCCTGCCATTCGTGTGTGTCTGTGTGGGGAGGGGGGGAGGGGCTCTTTTAGTTTAAACACAAAATTATACATAGGGCCATACTGCCCTCTTGTGTCCAAAATTATATTTATATATACATTATACATATATTTGGTATGTGACTGAGGACCGAGAGCTTTTAAATACGGGACATTGATAATGGCCACGTGCAGAGCGCTCGAGGGAATTCCTATGGAAGTAGGAATGAACTAAAAAACGTTCGCTCTGTTCTGCTCGCTCGTCGCCATGGACGCGCACCATTATGAATGCCAGTGCAGCCGCATACTTTTTAGTGTCACTTTAAAATTAGTGCAATAACGGGGCCGATTGCTTGAATTGTGAGTTCAATAGTCTATTATTTTTCACGGAAAACACAACAACAAAAGAGTACAAGGATAGATTCGCTGAAATAGGGGCTTTTACATAAAATAGCCTATTCCGTCATCATCTTTTCAGTCAGCTCTTCACTCTCGTGATTAATGAAATTTGACTCCTGTTGCTGATATTTGCTGCAACTTTCGTTCCGCTCACAATTTAGTAAGCAAACACGCTTCAAATGTGTTTTTATTTTATTTTTGTGTATATATATGTGTGTGTATATATATGTGTGTATATATATATATATATATATATATATATATATAGCTTATGTTTCAAATATGAGTTAATTAACAATCGTTGGAAAGAATGATACTTTTAATATCACTAAACCGTCATTAGGTGTCGCCAGGCGACCGTCTTAATGAGCGAGTCATTGATTCATTCGTTCAAACGATTCGTTCGAACGGCTGAGTCATTCATGAATGAGACAGATTATGGATTGGTCGTTGAATCTTTGAGTCAACCGATTCGTTCAAAATGCTGAATCATTCAGTAATGAGAACGCGTTGCTGTGAGATGCTCGATGGTTCTGCTGTGATCTTTGTTTAACTATTTTCGCTGCTGAAACAGAAAAAAAAGTCAATATTGCATCTAAAATGTAAGTGATTTGACGTGTGTGTGTGTGTGTGTGTGTGTGTGTGTGTGTGTGTGTGTGTGTGTGTGTGTGTGTGTGTGTGTGATTGTGTCTGTTACAGTGATTGTTTAACCCTTGTTAAAGTTTAGGCCTTGTCTTTTTGGATATATATCTTTTTATATAAAAAAAAATAGCATACAACCCATGTATTTTAAATGTATTGTTTGCTTTAAATTACATTGAGATTTGTATGTTTGGTAATTGAACCTGAATGAATTATAAATGAATGTGCTATATTTCAGATCATATATTTGTTTTCCTTAAAATTTGAACTAACACTAACTTTATTCTCATCTGAATGATAGATTATTTATTTCTGTATAAAATAAAAACACATTTGATTTTTCTTTTTTAATCAATGTAGAATGTGTAACTGAAAAAATAAACAGATTAGGGCTCTGATCGAGGACAATAATGTCAAAAAAAGAATCAGGGCATGTCTCATATCTTTCTAAAATGTAATTATACACCATTTATTTTTATATAAAATTATACAAATATTAGAACTAAACCCATTTTATTCCTTTTTTTCAATTTAAGAATTATTTTTAAGTTTAAAAACAGCCAGAATGGTTGTTTAGTCAAAAATAATAATAATCCAAATCATATATAGTGCTATACTGCCCTCTTGTGTTCAAAATCAGGTAGGCCTATTGAATTTATATATATTTATATATTAGGGATGTTACTATGGGAATATTTTCCCACCGGTTAATCAACGTGTGATTGTGTAAACAAATTGTGTAAACCTCCCGCTGGGGGGTTTAAAAACACTAACTTGAAAGCGAAAGTATAATATGGACGTCCGCACGGACATTGAAATGGTGGCGCTCGAATGAATTCCTATGGAAGTAGAAATTAACTAAACGTTCGCTCTGTTCTGCTCGCTCGTCGCCATGGACGCGCACCATTATGAATGCCAGTGCAGCCGCATACTTTTTAGTGTCACTAAAATTAGTGCAATTTCGGGGGCCGATTGCTTGAATTCTGAGTTCAATAGTCTATTATTTTTCACGGAAAACACAACAATAAAAGAGTACAATGACAGATTCGCTTAAATAGGCGTTTTTACATAAAATAGCCTATTCCGTCATCATCTTTTCAGTCAGCTCTTCACTCTCGTGATTAATGAAATTTGACTCCTGTTGCTGATATTTGCTGCAACTTTCGTTCAGCTCACAATTTAGTAAGAAAACACGTTTCAAATGTGTTTTTATTTTATTTTTGTGTATGTGTGTGTATATGTATGTATATATATAAATATAGCTTATGTTTCAAATATGAGTTAATTAACAATCGTTGGAAAGAATGATACTTTTAAACATAACACTAAACCGTCATTAGGTGTCGCCAGGCGACCGTCTTAATGAGCGAGTCATTGATTCATTCGTTCAAACGATTCGTTCGAACGGCTGAGTCATTCATGAATGAGACAGATTATGGATTGGTCGTTGAATCTTTGAGTCAACCAATTCGTTCAAAATGCTGAATCATTCAGTAATGAGAACGCGTTGCTGTGAGATCCTCGATGGTTCTGCTGTGATCTTTGTTTAACTATTTTCGCTGCTGAAACAGAAAAAAAGTCAATATTGCATCTAAAATGTAAGTGATTTGACGTGTGTGTGTGTGTGTGTGTGTGTGTGTGTGTGTGTGTGTGTGATTGTGTCTGTTACAGTGATTGTTTAACCCTTGTTAAAGTTTAGGCCTTGTCTTTTTGGATATATATCTTTTTATATTAAAAAAATAGCATACAACCCATATATTTTAAATGTATTGTTTGCTTTAAATTACATTGAGATTTGTATGTTTGGTAATTGAACCTGAATGAATTTTAAATGAATGTGCTATATTTCAGATCATATATTTGTTTTCCTTAAAATTTGAACTAACACTAACTTTATTCTCATCTGAATGATAGATTATTTATTTATGTATAAAATAAAAACACATTTGATTTTTCTTTTTTAATCAATGTAGAATGTGTAACTGAAAAAATAAACAGATTAGGGCTCTGTTCGAGGACAAGAAATGAAAACCAATGCAATATGATGAATGTCCAAAAGATTTTTTTGCTTTTAAACTATGTGTGTGTGTGTGTGTGTGTGTGTGTGTGTGTGTGTGTGTGTGTGTGTGTGTGTGTGTGTGTGTGTGTGTGTGTGTGTGTGTGTGTGTGTGTGTGTGTGTAAGAGATTTTGGTTGGGTGACAGTTGTAGTTTAGCAGTACAGTTTGACAAAAGCACAATGTTGTGTTTTATTGCGATTGTACACAAATATAAGTAAACACTTTGCAGTTTGAATAATGTCCTGTATGAACAAAAGGACGGAGTATGTTTTTATGTCTACATTGTTCAATCACGCCTCACACACACACACACACACACCAACTATTTTTCTAATCAGATCAGGCAAATATTCTGTCTTGGCACACTTCATATA